CAGCTGCTGCCGCATAAGCGCTGGTGTCTGCAGCAGCTGCTGCAGCGACTGCTGATATGGCCTCTGCTGCTGCTGCTGCTGCGGCTGCTGCTGCTGTTGCTGCTGCGGCAAGCGCTGCTGCTGCCCCTGCTGCATCAGCAGCAACCGCAGCGCCTCTTGCTGCAGCTGCGGTGATGCTTCCTGCTGCAGTTGCTGCAGAACTGCTGCCTGAAAGTGCCGCAGCTGCTGCTGCTGCAGCAGCAGCAGCAGCGCAGCATTGCGAGCATTTGACAGTACAGGGTCCCTCCCTTGCTGCTGCTGCTGCTGCTGCTGCGGCTGCTGCTGTTGCTGCTGCTGTTGCTGCTGTTGCTGCTGACGTTGTCGCTTCTGCTTCTGTTGCTGCTGCTCTTGCTCGTGCTTCTGTCGCTGTTGCTGCAATTGCTTCTGCTGTTTCTGCTGTTGCTGCTGTTGCAGTTGCTGCCGTTGCTGTTGTTGCTGTTGCTGCTGTTGCTGCTGTTGCTGCTGTTGCTGCATTCCCTCTACAGGTGTCCGTTCGTGACACTGCCGCTTTGGATTGAGCTGCTGCTGCTGCTGCTGCTTCTGCTCTTGCTGCTGCTGCTGCTTCTGCACTTGCTGCTGCTGCTGCTGTTGGTCTTGCTGTTGCTCTTCCTTCACTTCTTTCGGAGGACTCAGCACCTGCTGCTGCTGCGTCTGCTGCTGCGGCTGCTGCTGCGTCTGCTGCTGTTGCTGCTGCAGTGGCGTTGCTGCTGCACCTGAGCTAGCGGCCGAATCTTCCCCCCCCTTGTCGCTGCTGTTGTTGCTGCTGTTGCTGCTGTTGCTGCTGCCGCCGCTGGGCTCTACGGTTTCCGCAGCAGCTGCAGCAGCTGCAGCAGTAGCAGCACCACCAGCAGCTGCAACAGCCGGAGGAGGCGCAACTGCTGTAGCAGCGGCAGCTGGAGCAGCAGCAGGTGCAGCAGCAGGAGCATGTGCTGCAGCTGCAGGTGCAGCAGCATCAGTTTCCGGGGCAGCAGCACGAGCTAGGAGAGCAGAAGGTGCTGCAGCAGCAGGTGATGCAGCTGCAGCAGCTGCTGCTGCTGCAGCTGCTACAGAAGCAGCAGGAGCTGGCGCATCATCAGCTACTACAGCAGCAGAAGCTGGAGCTGCAGGTGCTGCAGCAGCAGCAGGAGCTGCAGAAGCAGGTGCCGCGGCAGCAGCAGGTGCTGCAGCAGCAGGCGCTACAGTAGCAGGTGCTGCAGCAGCAGGTGCCGCGGCGGCAGCAGGTGCTGCAGCAGCAGGTGCTGCAGCAGCAGGCGCGACGGTAGCTGTTTCTGCAGCAGCTGCTGATGCGGCAGCAGCAGGTGCTGCAGCAGCAGGTGGTGGTGCGGCAGCAGGAGCAGCAGCAGCAGCAGATGCTGCTGTTGCTGCTGCTGAGTGGATTGCTGTGTCTACAAAACAATCATCATCAACAGCAATGCTGGCAGCAGCAGCAGCAGCAGGTGCTGCTGCTGCTGCAGCAGCAGCAGCAGGTGCTGCAGCAGCAGATGTGGTTGCAGCCACGTCCTCACCAACACATCCTTTGCTGCTGCTGCTGCTGCTGCTGCTGCTGCTGCTCTTCGCTGCACTCCTCTTAAGCATACGACAAGATCGCTCTAGGCGTTGTTGTTCTGCTGTTGATAAGCTGCTGCTGCTGCTGCTGCAGTTGCTGCTGCTGCTGTAGTTGCTGCTGCTGCTGCAGTTGCTGCTGCTGCTGCAGTTGCTGCTGCTGCTGCAGCAGCTGCTGGTGCTGGTCTTGCTGTTGCTGCTGCATTTGCTGCTTGTTTGTTGTATTTCCTCTACAAAGCTACTTCTCCTGCTGCTGCTGTTGCTGCCAGTTCTGCTGCTGCATCTGCTGCTGGTTCTGCTGCTGCTGCTGCTCTTGCTGCAGTCAGCTTTCCCCTCTGCACCAAGCTTGTGCTGCTGCTGCTGCAGTCTTTGCTGCTGCTGCTGCCGCTGCTGCTGCTGCTGCTGCTTCTTTGGTGCTGCTGCCTTCCTACGCATAGCTGCTCCTATACCTGCTGCAGTTGAGGACGCGTGGTGGCGGTTTGCTGCAGCACCTGCTGCAGCAGTTGCTGCAGTTGCTGCAGTTGCTGCTGCTGCTGTTGGTTCTATTATTGCTGCTGCTATTCCTTATCTTCCTGCTGTTGTTGCTGCTGCTGCTGCAGTTGCGCTGCGCGTCACACCCGCGCTGCTGCCATTGCTCGGCTTCTGCTGCAGCAGCAGCAGCAGCTGCTGCTGCTGCTGGTGTGTTGCGTCTGCTGTTAGCTGCAAGAAGAACAACAATAAAGTCCTCCAATCCTCAAGTCAGTGCAGCAGAAGCTGCTGCTGCTGCTGCTGCTGTTGCTGCTGCTGCTGCTGCTGCTGCAGCTGTGGTTGGTAGCGGCGATTACAGCTGGAGGGGTTGCGCCAGCTAAGGGCGCTCTAAACCCTAAACCCTAAACCCTAAACCCTAAACCCTAGCCGATGAAAATATATTTTCTTCCTTTATTTTATTAATGAAGAGCAACAAACCCTCCGAGGGTTTGGCTCCGTGCAGACGAACCACCCTGGTGGCCCCCCGCTGCAGCCCCACTAAACCCTAAACCCTAAACCCTAAACCCTAATTTTTATTTTTTTTGAGTTATTTTTATATTAAAGAATATAAAATTACAATGCCATCTGTAACCCTAAACCCTAAACCCTAAACCCTAAACCCTCAACGGCAGCAAGCTGGCTAGAGGATACAACAGAATCCAGCAACACACAACGCGAGACAATTAATCATTAATTATTATTTATTTGTTTATTTATTTATATTTATTTAATTATTTATTTATTTATTTATTTATTTAATAATATTTATTGCCTTTTATTTATTATTTATTCTTAAGGAGGAAAAAAAAAGAAAAAAAGAGGCGTTGCTGTTATGTAGCTAACTAGGGTTTGTTGCTTTCTTATAAAAGGGCAAACACTACCCTTCCTAGGGTTTAGGGTTTAGGGTTTAGGGTTTAGGGTTTTCTTATATTAGCGGTTTGAGTCTAAAGAGATACAGGAAGAAGGGTTTGGCAGCTGCTTATAAGAGGTACACACAGCACCAGCAGCAGCAGGCACAAACCCTAAACCCTAAACCCTAAACCCTAGAACACAAAAAAGAGAATCTTCAGGTGTATACGCAGCTTATAATTTCTGCATAAAATGTAATAAAGTACAATGTACTATTATACATTATTATATAAATAAATAAATAAATAAATAAATAAATAAATAAATAAATAAATAAATAAATAAATAAATAGTATATGTTATTTATATATATTATTTAATTATTATCTAAACCCTAATAACGTAGGCAATCCAAACCCTAAACCCCTAAAAAGTAACCCATAAACCCTAAACCCTAAACCCTAATGAGGGAGATAAGAGAATAAACTAACAGGGTTTGTAGTCTAAAGAAAAGAAAAGGTAAACCCTAAACCCTCAACTCTAAACCCTAAACCCTAAACCCTAATAATTACGAAATGTGCAGAGACGCAAAAGGAGACAACAGGAGAGACACAGAGAGACAGATAGGGACAGACAAAGGCTCAAGAGTCTCTCAGCAGCAGCAGCAGCAGCAGCAGCAGCAGCAACAGCAGCAGCAGCAGCAACAGTCTTGTTTATCTAAATTAATAAGCAAAAAAAAAGTCGCGTTGCAAAACCTCAAACCACCATTTGCTGCTGCTGCTGCTGCTGCATGCAGCAGCAACTGCAGCAGCAGCAACTGCAGCAGCAGCACCTGCTGCTGTCATGAGCTGGTTATGGGTAGAATATCCCCTATAAAACCAGCAGCAGCAGCAGCATCTTTTGCTGCTGCTGCAGCATTTGCTGCTGCAGCTGCAGCATCTGTTGGAGCAGCAGTGGCTTGTTGCCTGATCTAGGGTTTAGGGTTTAGGGTTTAGGGTTTAGGGTTTATTCAGCAAAAGCAAAACGATGAGCATCATCCTTTATACTATCAGGTAAATCTCCCAACACTTTTACTGCATAACAACCAGGAACTCCTTCAGCTGTACACAAACCCTAAACCCTAAACCCTAAACCCTAAACCCTAAACCCTAAACCCTAAACCCTTGAAAAAAAAAAGAAAAGACATATATATATGACAGAAATAAAGATAATTAAGAAACAAATAAAAGGAGATAAATAAAAAAGAGACAGAAAAAGGGAGACAAAAAAAAAAGAGACAAAAAAAGGAGACAAATAAAAGGAGACAATAAGGAGACAATAAGATAAGGAGACAGAGAAGAAGACAAAAAAAAGAGACAAAAAAGGAGACAAAAAAAAAGACACAATTAATAAAAAGAATAAAAAGGAGACACAAAAGGAGACAACAAATATAATAAATAAATAAATAAAATAAATAAATAAATAAATAAATAAATAAATAAATAAATAAACTTCCTAGGTGTATAATGTCTAGCTACCCAAGAAAAAAAAAGGAGACACTAATAAAAATAAGCAAATAAATAAATAAATAAATAAAATAAATAAAATAAATAAATAAATAAATAAATAAATAAATAAACTTACTAAGTTTATTATGTCTAGCTACCCAAGACCCTTGGGGTTTAACTACAGCAATAAACCCTGCAAAGTTAGGGGACGTACACCCCAAAACCCTACTCCTATCTCCATCTATTTGTAGCCATGCACAATTAGGACATCCTTCTTCATAAAACTGAATAAAAAAAACAATAAACCCTAAACCCTAAACCCTAATTTATATTATAGGAAAAAAAAGCAGAAAAAATGATGCTATTTGATGGTCGTAGCATCTCCTCAGTGTTTATATATAATTTTATATGTAAACCCTTATACAAACCCTAAACCCTAAACCCTAAACCCTAAACCCTAATGCTTATATCTACAGACATTGACAGAAAAGCAACAGAGGAAAAAGAAGCTATAAGATGTTCCTACCCTTCCCTTAACCATAAACCCTAAACCCTAAACCCTAAAACCATAATTCTTCAAAACCCTACCTAAACCCTAAACCCTAAACCCTAAACCCTAAATTAGGGTTTTATAAAAAATATATATAAATATATCGTACCTGTTGCTCCGTCATAACAAGTCTACAACTTATGCATGCCCTTAATTTTAATTGTAATTTTTCTTTTTCTTCTCCTTCTTTTGTTCTTATTTTCTTTATATTACCTAATGGTACAACTCCTGTTATTTCTTCTTTTATTCCTGCTGCTCCTGCTGCTGCTGCTCCTGCTGCTCCTGCTGCTGCTGCTGCTGATTCCTCTGCTGATTCTTCTTGACTTGCATGCCCTTCGTCGCTGCTGTTGCCCTCAAACTCCATTTTTAATTAAAAATATTTATTATTTATTTATTTATTTATTTATTTATTTATTTATTTAGCAGCAGCTGCAGCAGCAGTCGCTGCGTCTTTATCCTGTTGCTGCTGCTGCTGCTGCTGCTGCTGTTGCAGCTGCTGCTGCTGTTGTTGTTGTTGCAGCTGCTGATGAGGAAACGTAAATAAATAAGAGTAATAAAAAGAAAAAGAATTAAAAAATATAAAGTACAGCAGCAAGTAAAACCCTAAACCCTAAACCCTAATGCAATATAATCATATAGCGCATGCAGCCCCAAGAAGCAATGTATAGAATTTGTTGTCTAGGGTCTAGGGTTTAGGGTTTAGGGTTTAGGGTTTAGAGGCTAATATTTTATCTTTACGACTTACAGTTTATCTCTCCTATTCAAAACCCTTCAGTTGTGTGTGTGTAGCACCCTCAAACAATTAGGGTTTAGGGTTTAGGGTTTAGGGTTTAGGGTTTAGGGTTTAGGGTTTGGAGATGGCGCAACTATATGGGGGTGACTCGGACTTCTGGACAGACGACGACAGCAGCGATGAATCCGCTGCTGAGGAGGAATCTGCTGCTGCTGCTGCTGCTGCTAAGGAATTAAAATGTGATAGTTTGCTGCAGCAGCTGCAGCAGCTGCAGCTGCAGCAGCAGCAGCAGCAGCAAGTATTGCCACCAATATTAGACTTTATTCCTCCTCCTCTATCTGTTCCTCCTATATCCGAGGAAACCCTTAATGAGTTACGCGAACTAGACAACGAAATCCTACAAGAGCAGCAGCAGCAGCAACAGCAGCAGCAGCAGCAGCAGCAGCAACAGCAGCAGCAGCAAGAAGAAGAAGAAGTAAATGATATATCTGATTCATTAGATTCACACGAAGGTCTTAACTTTATCCCTAAGCATCATCAGCAGCAGCAACAACAGCAGGATCAGCAGCAGCAGCAGCAGCAGCAGCAGCAGCAGCAGCAGCAGCAGCAAATACTCCTACCACCAGATATATTAGATATTTCTTCTCCTTCTTCTTCTTCTTCTTCTTCTTTTTTAATTAATTTTAAATTAATGGAGGAAATACCAACAGATATTAATCCATTTGCTGCTCCTCCTCCTGTTATTGAATGTGAGCCTCCTCTCTTCCTGCAGCAGCAGCAGCAGCAGCAGCAGCAGCAGCAGCAACAGCAACAGCAGGAGGAGCAGCAGCAGCAGCGGGAGCAGCAGCGGGAGCGGAGACGAGAAGAAGAGGGTCAAAAGGATGATGTTGATGACAGCAGCAGCAGCAGCAGCACTGCAGCAACAGCATCAGCAGCATCAGCAGCAGCAGCAGCAGCAGCAGCAGCAGATAGTATTAAACAGAAGCAGCAAAGACATATAAGAAAGAAATGGTGTATAGAAGATGTTGCTGATGTATCTTTCTTTCGTCGTACATTAAGAGAAATAAGAAAAGAGCGTGCTGCTGCTGCTGCTGCAGCAGCAGCAGCAAGACAGCAGCAGCAACAAGCTGCAGCAGGAGGTAGTGCTGCACTCGAATCCGCTCTTAGAGCACAGGTTGCACCTCCTCCTGATGCAGCAGCAGCAGCAGCAGCAGCAGCAGCAGCAGTAACTGGTGCTGCTGCTGCTGCACCTACAGATACAGCATCTCCATCTGCAGCAACAGATACATCACCCGATACAGCAACAGCAGCAACAGCAGCAGCAACAGGAGCAGCAGCAGCAGCAGCAGCAGCAGCAGCAGATTTATCCCCAGAGGAGGAGCCTCTTGCTATTGAGTTTGGCTTCCCTCTTGATGACTTCCAGAAAAGGGCGATCTTAAGATTAGAAAAAAATCAATGTGTATTTGTTGCTGCACATACTAGTGCAGGTTAGGGTTTAGGGTTTAGGGTTTAGGGTTTAGGGTTTAGGGTTTAGGGTTTTTGGAGGGTATAGGGAGGGTTATGTAACAATATTATTAGTCAAGTCGCGTATCTATCATTATACAACCAGACACCAAAATTTAAAATTTAGGGTTTAGGGTTTAGGGTTTAGGGTTTAGGGTTTAGGGTTTAGGGTTTGTGTATATATAGGTAAGACGGTGGTTGCTGAGTACGCAATTGCATTAGCATTGCAAAGAAGAAGAAGATGTGTATTTACTTCTCCATTAAAGGCGCTCTCTAATCAGAAATATAGAGATTTTAAGAATAAATTCGTATCGGTAAACCCTAAACCCTAAACCCTAAACACTAATTTGTTGAATAATACAGATATACATCATATCATAAACCCTAAACCCTAATTTCATAGGTGCAAGAGTATTTGATTGTGGTATTGGTGACTCGCTTGTCATAGTTCTTGAGCTGTTGTTCGGTTGTCTAGGGTTTAGGGTTTAGGGTTTAGGGTTTAGGGTTTAGGGTTTGTGTTGGTGTATAGGTGGGGCTGATAACGGGAGATATTTGCATCAATCCTGGTGCAGCGTGTCTAATTGTTACCACGGAAATTCTAAGGGGTCTTCTATTCAGGTAACAAGGGTTTAGGGTTTAGGGTTTAGGGTTTAGGGTTTGTAGCATTCTTCGGGTTTTTCAGCAAGCAGATAGGAGGTCAAGGGTTTAGGAACAAGAGTTAACTCTTTTTGCGTTGCTCCTTCCTATTCTTTATTCTTTATTTTTTTGAGGGTTTAGGGTTTAGGGTTTAGGGTTTAGGGTTTAGGGTTTAGGGTTTGTGTGCAGAGGAGATGAAATAATAAGCCAATTAGATACAGTTATATTTGACGAAGCACATTATGCAAATGATGCAGAAAGAGGAGTTGTATGGGAAGAATGTCTTATTCTTCTTCCTCAACATGTATTCACCCTAAACCCTAAACCCTAAACCCTAAACCCTAGAAAACCCTAAACCCTAAACCCTAAACCCTAGAAAACCCTAAACCCTAGAAAACCCTAAAACCTAAAAAATCCTATTTATATCATTAAATAGCCAATAAATAAACCAATTAAATAAATTAACCATAATACAAAGTTAACTAAATAAATAACTAAATAAATAACTAAATAAATAAATAAATAAATAAAATAAATATATATTTATGTACAGGTAAATGTAGTATTATTATTAGCAACATTACCTAATTATATAAAATATTTAGATCAATAAATAGCAAATAAATAGACAAATTAAATAGATTAACTAACTAAATAAATAAATAACTAAATAAATAAATAAATATATATAAATATATATTTATGTACAGGTAAATGTAGTATTATTATCAGCAACATTACCTAATTACATGGATTTTTGTAACTGGATAGGATCAGTAAAAGAAAAAGAAATTTTTGCGCAAAGTACACGAAGGAGACCTGTCCCTCTTCGTCATTTTATTTATTTTATTGATAAACCTTTTCTTCTTATGGATTCTAATGGTAAATTTAATCAACAAGTAAGCTATTTACTTTTATTTATTTATTTATTTATTTATTTATTTATTTATTTATCTTATTTATTTATTTATTTATTTATCTTGTTTATTTATTTATTTAGTTAATTAGTTATTTATCTTATTTATTTATTTATTTATTTATTTATTTATTTATTTATTTATTTATTTATTTATTTATTTATTTATTGTCCCTCTTTGTCAATTTATTTATTTTATTGGTAAACATTTTCTTCTTATGGTTAATTTAATCAACAGGTAAGGTATTTATTTATTTTATTTATTTATTTAATTTATTTATTTATTTATTTATTTATTTATTTATTTATTTATTTTATTTATTTGTATAGGCATATGCACAAGCATACGCATATGTAAATGAGAAGAAAGTATCTGGAGAAATAAAAGAGGGTACAGCAGCAGGAAGAGGTGGAGGTGGGGGCCCCTCATGGGGCCCCAATAAGAGTGGTGGTGGTAAATGGGGGCCCCCCCAGAAAGGGGGCCCCCAGAAGGGGGGCCCCCAGAAGGGGGGCCCCCAAAAAGGGTCCAGTAGCAGCAACAAGCAATTATACCAAAGTGCAGAAGCAAAGATGAAGACTTCCTCACAAAGATTACAGTCTCTTATTAGATATCTATCTCACGTCTGCTGCTGCTGCTGCTGCTGCTGCTGCTGCTGCTGCTGCTGTTGCCGTTGCTGTTGTTGTTGGTGAGGCAGGATACATGGCAAGATGGTGCATCTGCTGTTGTTGCTGTTGCTGCTGCTATTGCTGCTGCTGTTCAGCAGTTCATTGGGGTGTATCTACCTGCCATATATGCCTCCGCTGCTGCTGTTGCTGCTGTTGCTGCTGCTGCTGCTGCTGCTGCTGCAGAATAACGAAATACCAGCAGTAGTATTCTGTTTTAGTAGAAGAAAATGCGAAGCTTTTGCTAAGGCAGTATATCCTGCTGTTTGTACATTAACAAAAGCTGAGTGTTGTCGTAGACATTTATTTATACAGGTAAACCCTAAACCCTAAACCCTAAACCCTAAACCCTAATATATTCTTTGAACTCCATAGAGAGAGAGAGAGAGAGAAGAGAGAAAGAGCGAGCAGCAACTGATGGCACAGCGTCATATCCCTTTTGTCCTTTTAAATCCATCAACTTATATAGCAGATGCACCAACTAGGGTTTAGGGTTTAGGGTTTAGGGTTTAGGGTTTGTGGTATAGGAGTGTTTAAAGAGATTAACTCCTGCGGATAGGGAATTAAGACAAATAGATTTTGTCTTAGAGTTATTAAGAAAAGGAGTTGGTATTCATCATGGTGGTCTTCTTCCTCTTATTAAAGAAATGGTAAACCCTTTTCTAGGGTTTAGGGTTTAGGGTTTAGGGTTTAGGGTTTAGGGTTTAGGGTTTAATAAAATTTTAATTTTTTTTTTAGTTTTTTTTATACAATACACCGCATTTAATGTTATTTAATTTAATTAAATTATAATAATAATAAATATAATTAATTAATAATTAATTAATTAATTATATATCCCTTTTCTTCCTTATATACATGTATATAAATATATATACATGAATAAAATACATATAAAGTATAAATATTTTTCCCCCTTTAAATTCTTTTTAATTAATTAATTAATTAATTAATTAATTAATTAATTAATTAATTAATTAATTAATTAATTAACTAATT